CTTTGATTCGATCACGAAGCCACAAAGCGCAAAAATAACTCAAATAAATACCAAATATGGGAAGGAAAGAAAGGGAGGAAACGCAACATTTTTCCCTTGCAACGGGCGCGGCAGGTGCAAAGATTATTTTTTTTTTTGGGCTTTCCCACGCCCCTAGAGAAGTCCAAGGAGTGGGAGCAGCAGCAGCAGCGGTATCCCAGGGTCGCTCTATTGTTTCGGATGCAATCTGGCATCTTGGCCTGCCACTAACAAGCTGTGGAAGCTGTTCCGCAGAGTTTCCACCTTTATTATTTTTAATTGGACTGATTTCCCGCTACAGATACATTTGTATCTGCGCGTGCGCACCGTAGCTCCCAGCTCGTTGACATACTCAAGCGACTGTCCGCCAGCAGCAGCTCATCCAATCATCCTAGGCCATCACCATCCATTGACATCCATTCGGAGGTACAAGAGAGACCACGACCAGATCTTGACCAGGCGGCACAGCTGTGCTGTGCTCTCCTTTCACCGCTCCACTCCACTCCACAGCATCGCTCGAAGGGTTGTCGTGGCTTTTGGTAGGGTTGCTGCTGGCATTTTTTTCCCACGATTGCGTCACCATCAGCTGCACTTTTGCGCGCAGTTTTTGCCCAGCTACACTTCCTTCCTTCCTTCCACCTTTTTTCCTGGATTTTGATTTTTTGCGCCGCCTGGTGAGGCTCAAACGGCTGTGCGGCCTTGGGGTGGGGCAGACAACCTCAATTAGGGGTTGTCATCAGAAAGTCTCGATTAGAAGTCGCTGACATACTGCGACATTGTGACGTCACATCAGCATTCACCTCAGCATTCGCCTCAGAATTTCTTATTCGCATTCAGATTCAAATGCCCTACCGGGTGTTGTGTGAACGCCTTCCCAGTCAGCGATCCTTTGTCCAACGCTTGACTTGCCCTTGCCACAAAGAGTCTGCCCTTTTATAGTCACGGGCAACGCCTCGCCGCCCTGCCTCGTCGCATGCTGCACGTTAGGGCTCTGTGGGCTAAAAGTTGGATTATATGGGCATATTATTATTATTATTATTATATTGATTGTGTTTGCATCGACCAGAACCAGCAGCAGAAATATAAGCAGTTAGAGAGAGGAGTTTTTGTGTGGCTGCTAGGATAGGAAATGGCTAATATCTGTAATGGATTCTTGGGAATTATCGTGCAACAATTGTTTAACATTGTACATTTGAGGGTGCCTATAAATAGGATTATAAGTATTAATTATATGTATCATGGATCGTATGTGTGTCTGTAAAAATCATATTGAAAATTATAAAAATATTTTGACACATTTACCATGAAAAATAACATTGGAGTTTCTTTTACTATACAACAATTAATGTTAATTTTGGTATTCCCATCAATCAGTTTTAGGTCTTAAATTAATTTCAAATTCAAATGGTAGCCAGCATTACTCATCGCCCAAAAAACTAAAAAATCGATTAATTCATAGCTTTTTCGATTAACCAAAACGTCAGCCATCTGTCATCTGTCATTTTGAAGATCAGCCAAAACTGTCAACGCATCGCATCGATCTTTCTCGCTCTCTCTTTCTCTCACTCCCTCTCTCTGTTTGGGACTGTTTCTTTTTCTTTGGCAAACTGTCAAACGGCAGCTTCTCGTCGAGTTGCTAATCAGCTGCTGCTGCTGCTGCTGCCCCTGCGTCTAAAAGTGTGCTGCAGCCAGCCAGCCCAGCCATTTAGACATTGTAGTCAGCTCAAGGATTTTGACAGCTAAGCTGACATGCAGAAAAATATGAAAATGTAGTGAAGGGAAGGGAAGGGAGAACACATGTCGTGTGTCTGTTTGTGAGTTTTATGACTGTCGAGTCGAACAAGGTGAATATGCCAGAGTCAAAGCTAAAGCTCAAACTCAAACCTCAAACCTCAAAATGCAATGAAACAATCAATCAATGCGCTGAAAAGAGGCTTGTCGGGCATGGCAGGGACTATACCAAAAGGCACAAAATCAAATTACAGGCAATGATTAATCAATCAACACTGTACCATAGAGGAGACACAGTGAGGAGAGAGAGAGAGGGAGAGAGAGGCACAGAGAGAGGAGAGCATAGGTATGTATATCCAATTCCAATGTGCAGCCGATAGCCATAAAGCAACCGCATGGGCACGATCTTGCTGCCAAGTGGCCTCGTCCGACCTGCTCCCCAATGATTGTGGGTGTGTGTCTGCATCCACATGTGTGTTTGTGTGTGCTGGCCAAGTGGGTGCGTTCTCACAGCTGGATACCTGGCGTCCGAGTCGGTCGCCTGTTGAACTGGCAGCAAGCAATCACGATCCAGGCACACAACACACCTGCAAGTCTCTGCTCTGGGCCACTCCTCATGCATCCACATCCACATCCACATCAACATCCACGTGTGCGTTCTGCCCGCAGAGCAGACCGCCAATTGGCAATACAAAAATCAATGCCTAGCCTCCAAATCTTTGCTCCCTCCGCGCGTTCTCTTGGTGGTGGTGGTGGTGGTGGTGGCGGCGGCGGCTTCTTCCCTAAATGGCCTGCACTATGATCGTGCCAAAAATGGGTTTGCAACTGGAATTCGCTTTTAGCAACAGCAACAGAGAGACCAGATACAGCTTTAACTCCAGCTCCTAGCACCATTTGCACAGCCTACCTCCGCACGGCTCGGCTCGGATCGGATCGGCTCTCTACTGCCAGATGCAGGTGGCGAGTGGCTAGGCCAGACCAGGCCAGGCCAGGCCAAGACCTGGTCTAAGACGACGACCAGCTGGTGTGAACAGCTAGAAAGTTTTGTTCAGCCATCGGGCCGATCGATCGATCGAGCCTCTGCCTCGTCCTCCGATCGTGAGAATCAGTGCGACGCGGCAGCAGCGTGAAAATTTATATGTATGCTGGCCAAAACAAATGCCGCGTGATTTCAATTTATGGCCATCTAATGAAAATTTGACAAATAGCAAATGGGTGAAGTAAGCAAAACCCCCCCATCCCATCCCATGCCATTCCCATCCAATGGCCAAAGCTGGCAAGGCACTTCCGTCAATTGATTGAAACAAGAATTAAAGGCATCCAGCCTAGATGTCTGATCTCAAACAGTCACTCAAAGACCAGCTGGCTGCTGGCTGCTGCCTGCTCCGATTTATGGTAGTGGTAGTTGGACTCGGAGTCAAAGTCGTGACCCGCGTGCATTGAACTCCCGGGTGAACCGATCCTGTCTACTGTGGGCCACACAAATGATTGTGTTTCGGCAAGACTTTGAAGCGGCTCATGATACATGATAGAATTACTTACTACCATGGAGCGGAGCGGAGCTATGAAGCTATGGCGATGGCGATGGCGATGGCGACGGCCCAAAGGCAGCGCCACACATTTGAACGAAATGAATTGGAAGTCTGGCAGCACGAAGTGCAATTTTCAAACATGCAGCCAGCCAGCCAAAGTGTTATTACTGTGGGAGCTATTCGGTCGTAATGAAGCCATTGCCATGGGCAGACCAGCAGGCCAACAGACCAATAGACCAGCAGAGAAGCAGTCCAACAGTTGCTTGCCCATTGTCAATCATATTCGGAGGAGTTGATTTTCCCACATTTTATGGCTGGCTGATCGCGTTTCCTCATGGGAAAATCACTGAATCGACTCTGCTTCGCCTTGTTGCGCAACAATTATTCGGTTTTGGCTTTGACCCGACCCCAGCTACCAACATCGCATCGGCAAACCCAAAAGGGAATGGAGGGAAGCCCGACAACAACGACAACCCCCACGCATATGGACAACACCTTGATCTCAAGGCTGCGCTTCGTTGCGCAGGCAAGTCGCAACTTGTTAATGGGGTTGCAGTTGCAGCTACTCGTTTTTTGTTGTTGTTGGTCGTTTGCCTTCACGGCTATTATCTAGGCCAGAACGGAAGTGCGCTTCTTGAGATCGCCCCGTTTCGGCCCCAGCCAACATTTTCACACATTTTCGTCGCAGGTGTAGGCATAATAAATAGTACGCACAAGAGTCAAACTGCAAGAGTCTGCTGCAATGCGATGACCAATATGTTAATTTATTGTCGTTTTTTATATTGGAGCGGAAATTAAATTCAGCGGTGGATAGCGGTTTGATTCGCTCGATTAGTTTTTGATGTGGACAATGGGTTTCAAATTCGATTTAATGATAAAGTTTTTTCCCGGAGTTTCATGTTGTAATGCTTTAAAAACAAAAATTTTTTATAATTTCTATTACTTTTATTTCAACTATTTTAAGCAACTACAATTTTTAGAATTTATATTTATTTTTTAACTACATGCCTCCGTGGCGACATCTGGCGATTTTTACATGGTTTCAAACACGCGCATGCGTGCCCGCTACCAAAAAATGTAAAAATTCATGTAATGTAGAAGGTAAAATTCACATTTTCAATGTGACCAGAAACTAAAAAAATGTTAATCACAAAAATTCCACTTCGCAACACTATCGGCAACATTCTTTGGCAACATTTAATTAATTATTAAATTTGTATGAAAATTCCATTTTCGCAACATTTTTTTGTTCCTTAACATTTCTTCGCAGCATATGTTGCGTGCTCTGGCAAAATGTAAACAAACAAGGAGGCTGGCTCCGGCTTAGCTTATTTCCTCCTGTACTGCTAAGCGTAAAATTTTTAGTTAATTAAAATTAATTGCACTGATTAAGGCGTCAAATCCATGTCAATGCGTCAATTAGTCATCTATTTTTTCAATTTGCAATTAAGTTTCGGTTTGTTGTATAAAAAGCCGTTTACTTTTCATTTCGGCGAGGAATTTTGAAAACGAAAAAGTTTCGCGTTTCCGAATGCGGGAGCACCTAACTTTCCTCTTTTAAAAGTAAATGGGAATATGAAATTATTTAATTTAATCAAACTGAATTAAACTGAATGTGTCGCATTAAAAGTCTACCGGCTGACATCGGGAGAGAAGTACGTACTAGACGAACAATCGGTATTAAATAGTATTCAGAGGCAAACGATATTTGGAAAGTTAATGGCAAAAGAGCCGCCCGCCGATCCATCCGAGTTGTGCTCCAACGCCCCCGCTATAAATTATAAATAGAATGGCAACAGCGCCATGTGTGTGCGTGTGGAGAGCAACTGCAAAAGAGCACATTCTCTCTCACATAACACGCTTACCAAACAGGTTTTGAGAAAGAGAGCGAGAGAGACGACTACAATTCGACTACGACACACTTTTTTCCTGCTCCCTCAACAGTTTTTTTCGCCGCTCCACACGATCTAGAGCTGTTTTGCTGTTTGGTCCGTGTTTGTGTGCCTAAAAACCTGCAGCATATTTGTGGAAATTAAAATCCAACGGTACGGGTACAGTAGCCAAGTGCACAGGTTTTTATTTATCTTTCACATTAGTATTCAATTAATATTCTTTACTAACCCGCAGACCAGCCGATTGATATCAACGAACAGCAGCGGGAGAGAGAGTCGCAGCCCGCAAAAAGAGACAGACAAAGAGAGAGAGAGAGATTACACTGCGCCAAAGAAACACACTGGCCTGTATCTGTATGTGTGAGCGCAATATCTATGTATAGAAATGTACTCTGACGTAAGTAGTCCGCCTGAGAGCTGAGAGAGCGCTATCTTGATATTCGGATACTTGATTTTTGGTGTCTTGGTCCTGGTTAACTGTCAATAAGCAAGGGCTAGCAAGTAACGGATAACCAGCCAATAATCTTTTGGCCAAAATGAATAAAATTGTAAATCTGGCGCTTATTGTCGGGTTGTCAGCCATTGCAGATGAAAAAATACAGGAGGAACAGTATAGAAACGGTGTAAGTAAATATTTTTAAAAACTGTTCTTTAAGCGCAGCTCTCCTAGTTTATCTGACAGAGAGACAGAGTAGAATCTTTGCCTTGTTTCCTCCTCTATTTTTTCAAATCAAGTATCGGTATTTGCCTCTCATAAATATACCATATCCTTTAGTATGCCTAAACTAACTAAATTCCATTTCTAGGAAGACGGCAAACAGTTTGAAGACGGCGGTGGACAACGCATAAGGAACGTGCTGACGCTGGAGGAGCGGGTGGCGGTCATTCGACAGTACGACATCTTGCCTATGTACAGCAAGATAGCCAAGAACTTCAACTGCAGCTGGGAGCAGATCAAAAGCATCGTGTCCAATCGGCAGGCCATCATGGAGTTCTACGAGGCCTCGCGCCGCCTCAATGATTTGCCAAACGAGGAGTTGTGCAGGCGCAAGCTCAACTTCCTGGGACACTGCCTGTACGAGTACATACAAAGGGCCCAGTACTACCTGCATGTAGACATCAATGAGGAGCTGATCCGCAAGCAGGCCGTGGAGTTTCGGGATCTCATGCAGATCGAGGGCTTCAGGCCGAACAAGCCGTGGATCAATCACTTTAAGGCTGCATACAACATCACGCTATCGAATCGACAAATCACTATGACGCGTAAGCCACCGCGCTCCATGGACCTGAGCGACATCATGTCCTACTGCGGCCGACACACGTCAATGTGCAAACTGATGGTTAATAGTACAGAAGTACCAGCACCAGCAGCTTCACCCACCACGAGCACTCCAACAGACGCACACCTGGCTTCCGCACGCTCGCTGTACCGCACCAAGACGTTGGTGGCCGCCTCTAGTCAGAACCAGGCCACCCTGGTGGAGGTACAGCAACGGCGCAAGCGAAAGATCAACTTTCTGGAGAAAGCCTTGTACGAGTATATCGAACGCTCACAGATCCATCAAAAGGGACGACTCGATATGGACAATCTGCGCACCGTGGCCATTAGTCTGCGCGACATACTGAAGATTGAGAATTTTTTTCCCGACAAGATGTTTTTCAACCACTTCAAGAGCCACTACAACTTTAGCTTCTCCCAGGGAGTACCTCTGACCCATCGGAGAGTACCCTTATCCCTGGACCTGCGTGACATCGTCAGCTACTGCGGCCGGAACGATAATCGCTTTGCGGCGCAGGAGCGCTCCGTTGTCCGTCTTCCGTTGTTGGATCCCAAGCCAAGTCCGGATATGGATAAAGCGAAAGCAAATGAAAGCCCACATGTTGATGAGCGGGAGCTGTCCATTGTCCATCTGCCGTTGTTGGCTCCAAAGACGATAGCAATGGAAAGTTGTGATGCTGATGAAGACGATGACTGCATCGCCATTGAGGTGCAGCCCGAACTGATAGAAATCAACGACGATGAGGATGAACCCGAGAAAGCCACGCCCCCAACAAAGCGAAAGAGCCAACACTTATCGGAGGTAGTTGCTCCTCCACTGAAGATACAGAAAATTGAGTCCCTCCACAGCCCCACAGCGGCCGAGCTAGATGCGGCTCCTAGTCCAGGCCACTACTCGGAGACAAGCAACGAGGCAAATGCAGGGGCAGCGCTGCCTCGTTGTGTGGAGAACTATCAGGATGCATTACGTCTGCTCAAGCCACTGGAGGATTTTGCTCTAATGGAGGAGAACTATCGTGCCATTGGTCTGCTTAGCCAGTTGGAGCAGATCTTTAAGGCTGGAACCGGATTAGGCAAATAGTTGGATGTTCAGGAATCAGTGGGAAGAAATTGTTGAAACTCTGACAAAATGTACCAAATATTGTTATGGAGGAGCCTGCAACTTATTAGCCTGAAGCTGAATAGACGTGAATGTACATAAAACATTACGAAAACTAAGCTACTGAAATCCAATTTAAAACTATGAAATGAGACATGAAAACTTTTGTTATTTTTCTGTATTAACTTAAAGAGAGTACAAAGTAACCAAAACGTAATAATAATATCAAAATATATCGTATGTTAATGAGCACTTTTTATCATATAAATGGATTGAATTGGAACTTGAAGAAGTAAACACTACAAAAACTTGTGCATATTAATACCTGTAGTATAGATTTTGTATAATTGAATGGACATACTAGTGTTTTATTTTTATATTATTGAAATTGCACTACTTTAATGTGCAGATATCTGCATGATCAGCTCAAAGCTTAAGGATAATTCATGTACCAAATATTGTATGTATAATATGAGAAGAATCGATAACTAAACTACAGAGGGATATATGTACATATGATGTACACCCCCCATGTATAGCCTTCAAATGAATTCCAATAATTAATACCTGTACATGTGTATGAATATCCTTTATTTGATATGAGAAACGTCATGCGATTACTTTCGTTTGTAAAAAGTAAGAACTTTTTTAGGTGATATGTTAGGATGTGTAATACCCACCTGTCCTCTCCCCTCCTTCAGTACTGTTCTGCTTGTCTTTGTTCAGGTTATATAATCGCCTGGCCCTTCTCCATTCGCCAAAGTGCGAAGCAAAATCAACGCTAAAACTTTATGTTCGTCCTCTAAAACTTTACGCGCCGTGGCCATTCGGAGATGGGAGGAGAAGATGAGATGGAATGACCTGCAGGGTTTTTCGATGTGGGGTGGCATGGAGTGGTGGGGCGGGGCGGAGCGGGTCGGGGAGTGGCATGGCGTGTGGAATAGGATAGGTGGTGCGGAGGAGCGCAAAGTTGAACGTGCGTGGAAGAGAGCCCTGTAGGTGCTACATCAATTCTAGATGGGTAGAATTGCCGGAGGCAAGTGGCGTGGGTAGCAACGGATGCCAGCAGCGCAGCATCCCATCTAGGGACCTTGGGGAGGAGCACACACACATACACGCACACATTTGCACTTATGGACACGCACATACACACACACACACACACACATTGACACATAGATATAGAAGGAGCTACGATTACACAACTGGGCCATAGAGCGCTGAAGGCGCTGCACAGACGTAAGCGTCGCCATCGCCATCTCCATCCGTCCTCGATTGCAGGAAAGTTTCCCATTACGCTTGCAACCCTCCTCAGCGGCGGAGCATTGGAGCAGCAGGATTTTCATTTCAAGGATTTCCGACCGACGTCAGACTGGACTGACTGACGGCTTGACTATACCTGCTCCACGGTAGAGTCGGTGCAGAAAACCTACGAGTGTAGGGTTAGCTGCACGAACAGGATAGGGGATGGGCATGGGCATGGGGATGGGGATGGGGATTGGCATGAGGAATAGAAAGAGAGAAGCGGGAAGGCGTACGGACGGACATTGGTAATGGTAGTGTGGGGCCCGATAAAGAAGCAACATCAATGCAAGCACAGCAACTACACAACAAGAGCGTACAACGACAATGTTGAGAAGGCCCCGACACGACTCAGGTTACTGCCACACGACTGCGCCCCCAAAACAAAAATTGAAACCCCAGCGCGCTAAGAGCTCTGACATAAAACCCTGTGAGCGAAATTGCCGTTGGGGGATATACGAGCCAGGGACAGCGACTATATACCATTGTCTCCACTACTCAACCTCTACCTTTACCTCTCTCATGACAGTTGTACATGCTCGGTATGTGCAGATTTTTACCTGCAAGCCATTTACTGATGGATTGCAGACGAGATCAGTTAAATAAATTAAGGAGTAGCAACAGGAAAAATAAACAAACACTTCTAAGATAATTATATCTCCATTACTCCATTATTATTCTTCACCAGAATCATAGTACAGTATTCTCTCTAAGTCGTAGAACTTACTATATGGCGTGGCATGGCAACGGATTCATATTTCTAATAGCTATAATAATGATATGCAATCTATATACACAATATTTTCGCGGAAAGTCTTGGTAGCATGTTCCGAAATGTTTTCATTCCCCGGAAAATGGAATCGTAGTGCGAGAGTGCCAGTAAAGTACCCAACCCAACAAAACTTGTGGATAGGTTGGGTGGTTCACATTATCATCTCGAGTAATAATAAGGAACGTTGGGGAATACTGAAAGGTATGACTTCATCCGATAATGATTCATTGCGTACAGAATTCAAAGAATTATAATCATCGCTTTAGGAGTGATTTACGGGGGGAACTTTCAAAGGGTTCCCAATGGTAAATACATACATTGCCATATTCCATGTGACTTATTTACTTTTGTATATACTATTGATTCTTTTGCACGCATACAAAAGCTCACCCAAAGCGACCCTTTAATCATCGAGTACATGGGGATAGTCGTCCCATGCCATAATCGTTGCCATTGTATACCAAATATGAATGACTCTCCTCCACTCGCATAGAGCGCCAAAGTGTAAGCCCCAAACAGACACAGTCCCAGTCGCAGTCGGGATGGGAGCGAGGTTATCGTGTCGAGAGGCTATACGAATACCCGTTCATCTAGAGTACAGATATATTTACAACGATGCCCATGCTCAGATTCAGATACAGATACATACTGAATGGGAAACGTGAGAAACGACCGATTCACAATGATGATGATGAAGCTGATGATTATGATGCTCGAAACAAGTCTGAGTCTCTGGGTCTGGCTCTGGGAGTCTCTGCTATTGTACGAGTATGTAGCCTATGTAGCCTCGAAATCGGTCCCAACATCGAACATCGGTACAGACAGCAGCTCTTCTTTATAGCTAGTAGCTGTTTGGCTTTGCTGCTCGATGTACCTCCACTTATTTGGTTTGTCGGCTCTGCATAAGCCTCTTGGGCTTTGAGATGCCTCAGGTGCTGATGCTGCTGCCTTTCCTGGTATTGCTTCAATTCCATTCCGTAGACATCGGCAGAGCAGACGATGATGACACTTGAGTGTCGCAGCTCCACCAGTTTGCCAGCTCGTTCTCAACGGGCTTAGACTCTAGAGGGGGGCCTGTCAGGGGGATTCTGCTGCTTTTCTGCTTCTGCAGGTTCTGATACCGATGCCGATGCCGGTGCCGATGCCAATGCTGGGAATGATGATGATGCTTTCAGCTTTCAGTCATGCGCCGCTCGACCGAACAACCCGCACAATGCCGCCTCGCCTCGTATCCGTACATCGTACATTACTTCGGCTGGCTGGCTGGCTCGTTTCGCCTGGCACTGCTTCGATAGATGCTAATCTATCTTTATTGTGCAAAGATGTCGAGAGGATTCGTATACTCGCACACGAATGGGGGCACAAAGACGCTCTGACCGAACCGAACCGAACCGAACCGACACGACCCGACCCTCTTTCCCACCACAAATCCTCCAGTTCATCCATTCGTCAGTCCGTCATTCAGTCCATTCGCTCAATCGTTTACTTGCTCCGACTCTTTTTCGGGGTCTGGCTATAAATACAAATCGTCTTTGCCAACCCATCGCATCCATCGGTATGTATTGGATTTCATTTGGGTTCGATTTTGGTGTGAGCCCCAAATGGATGTTCATTTTAGGGAAGCGAAGGAATCTTCTAAGGGGAAAAGTAAATCATTTTGAACTGTGTGCTGTGTGCTAGAGATGCTAGAGATGTGTAAGTTGAAGGAAGTCCTTGGTAAAAGGATAGATATACATATATGTATGTATAAGCAGAGTGGAAAGGCTTAACTATAGAAATAATCTTTTGATAAATTATCCTAATAAATGTATGTTAATTTAAACCCTTTTCATTACTATTTATTATGTTTATTATTATCTATATACAACATTATCTTCACAGATCATGAGATACAAACAATACACTGAAATTAGCTCTGTATTTTACAGTCTGTGAGCGACCCCGTTCCAAAGAGATCGTTGGTTGTTGTTTGCATTATTTCCAGTTTCAGAACTGATTTTCCACCACCATTAAGGACTGGATAGATATGCCGCCTCTCCTCTCGTCTCCTCTCACGAATGCACGAAATCCACTCGGCGGCTCGAATGGCGTACAACCAACACGAGATATAAAACCCAGATATGGAAATGGCAATAAACTCGTAGCAGCATTCAGCATACATAGAAGGCAAGGGGAGGGGATTGGAATTGGGACTACGAAGAGTCGTGGCGGCGCGTACGTCGACGCTGACGTTGACTGCAGCTGCGACTGCGACGTTGGCGTCGCTGTTAAGCGATGGCATGGATGGCCATCGAGGGCACTGGCATCGAATCCAAGAGTATCAGGGAATCGGGCACCGGCAAATGCCACTGGAGGGGCAAAAGGCACAAAGGAAATTACTAGGAAAAACTCAGGTCCCTATGGTGCTTTCGGGTGCGACAGACGTCGTATAGATACGCGCACACAGCGACAGACAGACATAGCATACCGTCAGATAATCAGAGGAACCGGCAGACAGACGGACAGATAGATGGAGGAGCAGTGCTGCTGGCGGACATCATATATAGATTATAGCGCACACAATGAGAGAGCAATGAAAGATGTAGAGACACGAGTCGAGATACCTTTAGCTTCAGTCGAGGACTGTCGAGGATTGGGATTGGAAATGGCATTGGGATAGAGCACCAGACCAGACCGGGGCGCAGAGAGCAGGGAGCTGCATTAAGGGCAAGGCCCGGACATAATCAAAAAAGGTAATGGGAAATACTATCTCTGGTCTAAGGGAACAGTTGAGGGGCACGGGACTGCGGGATATAATCGTAAAATGTTTTAGCAGGAGAAACGAGGCGGCGGCGACGAGGGTGCGATGTTCGGTTCAATATAATACATAGCCATAATAAATTCTATGGCTAAATCCCCGCATCTGGCTCTCCAGAAAAGGTCATAATAGATGAGCTTAGTGGGGTTCTCTGGCTTTGGCTTTGGCTCTGACTCTGACTCTGTGCGAGTGTGCGGTTCGATGTGAGTAATCCCAGGCCCCAACCCATCCCAACTATGTATCTGTGTGTGGAGCATCTTCTATGCAAAAGTGTACAAGTGTGTGTGTCCCCTCTGAGTCGCGTCGCAATCTGCCCATTTTTCGGAGTCATGAAATGGCACAAGGAAAGGTCATTTTCTTCAGTGCTCCTGGCATAGTCGATTTACTCAGCTCGTTTTCTAAAGGTTGCCAAGGGATTAGCTTAGCACCCGCCAGTCTGCTCCTTGCCCTTGCCTTGCCTGCTCCTATGCGAGTGCGACCTGACCGCAAAAGCATTTCGAGAAAAGTTTCTGCGTTTGTCCATGCCGCTGCTGGTCAGTCGGCCAAGCAGTCGATAGCTGCTGAAAAGCATAATATAATAGAGTCGAGTCATCGTCAAACCCGAGGAGCTTCCGAGGAAATTCCAAAGTCCTTCAGCACGTCCCACAGCCGCCCAATCCGACACCCCCACCCGCCCAAAAACGGCGAACAACCTTCGCCATTAGCACCAACGCCGCACCACCCCACCATCGTCGAGGTTGATGCTGTGGTTTTATACCTTTTCCAATACTTTTCCCTCTATATACACATATAGTATATGCACACACGTATATATATATATTTATACGTATATGAAAACACATATATCCATCTCTATGTGTGATTTTTCCACCACCGAAACACAATCGAATTGGAATCGAATCAAATGGAAGGGAAAGGCAAGGAATTGGAATGGAATGGAACCGAATAGAGACGAACCCAAGAGCGTTATCTATCCATCCATCTGTCTATCTCTTCTCCGGCTTACGCTTACCCTGAGAGTCTTGTATTAAAACTAATCCATCAAATTGCTCTTTGGGCTACCCACAACTACAACGATAATGGGGCCTGTTTGTTGTTGTTGTAGCTGCTGCTGCTGCTTCTGCTGCTTCTACTTCTACTTCTGCCAACGTCATCATCGTCTTCGGCTACGAACCAGAACCAGAACCCAATCCAATCCAAACCAATCTCCCACCAAACCCAATACTTCAAGTAACAGACTGATATATGCATGTACATATGTATGTACATATATATAAACGACGAGTATCTCGATTCGATGTGATGTGTGCGTGTTTATTGGGAAAGATGTTGGCATAGAATGGATTTTTCTGTGCACGATACTCTCGCGTATATAGCTAGCGAACCCATCGAAGTTGCCATGGCACATTGCTAACGGATGTATGTATCAAATATAATGAATGTCCCAAGAGGCCCCTTGGACCGGACCAGCACTGAACACCGAACAAAGCATCAGCAGCATCAGGCAGGCATCGCATATCGTATATGGAGTAACCATAGGAAACTTGTTTAGATTGGCGTGATACGATACCAAATGTATGTATGGTTACAAGCCATGCAGCTGGGATGGACCAAAACTGCAGATTTTTGAGAGTTTTATAAGGGAGTTTTACCATAGAAGATCGTTTTATAATTCTCGTATTTTACGTCTCCAATATAGATGAAAAGATAATCCATTTAGGTACTATTAAAGATCAGTTGGTTCCTCCACTAACAGGGTCCACACTAATAATGATTATGGAGTCGAGAAAGAGTCAATAGTAATACCCAAAAATAGGTATAATTGCACCCGTATGTGTTACTGTGTGTTTGTGTGTGCTTAGTCAGGTATCGAGCGTATATAGCGCATATATCTATCTCAAGCAAAGCAGATACAGAAAATTCCAAGCGCATATCGTCAGACCCAAAAACTAAAACCACTCACCCACCTTAAACGTTTGATATAACCGTACTCGGATTTTTATACATGCTCGTACTCGCAGCGACGCCGGCCGAGTAGGAGAGAGTGTGATAGACCCCCATAACGGGCTCTACGTATGCCCGAAAAACCCATCAGAGAACTCTCTATATACACAAAGCCCCCAGTGCCAGGCCCCTGAAGCGCCCGCGTACACCCCCAAGAAAAACACCAAACGTAGGACGAGAGCTTCGGGTCAGATTCGGATCGGATCGGGTAGTTCGTGCATCGCCGCGGGCTGACAGCCACATTGTCAGAGTGGAAGAGGAGACACCACCCACCAGCACACCCGACTATCCGACGATATGTTGCTCTGCTGCAGTCAGCGTCGCAGTCGCAGTCGCTGCGTATTTGTTTGGCACGTCTTACGCTGACGCTGACGTCGACGTTGACAGCGCAGCGCGGTTCAAGAGGTGCTCTTGCGCCCGTCCTTGTGATGTCTGTTGCTGGCGCTGGCGATGGCTGGCGATGGCTGTCGTTGCTTCTGCTGGTTTTGCTTTCTGTTTGGGATTAAGTATTTCCTATAGATGGGAAAAACGAGTCGGTCGGGGTCGTTCGTCGAGTTGGTTGGGTTGTTGCTTGTTGGTTGTCGTATTTTTCGTACACTTCACTCTGAACTGAACGTTCGTCCGAAGCGGTTCTTTCTCGCAGCAGCGCTCGTGTGCCGTTCCGTAACTGTGTTCAATTCGAGTTCGAGTGCTCTGTGCTTGCCGGGGTATTCGGTTGCTTCGGTGAAGTTCCAGTACCAGTACCAGTATCGTATATCTTAAGGATAGCAAAGGAATACGTGCATCTCTTCGTGTTAGATATATCCGGATCCCAGTTCCGGTTGGCTCTCTCTGTTCTGGAAGTGTAAGTAAAGTGACACTCTGTAACGTGCTTCGGGTGTAAACAAACGGGGTCTTGAGATTCTGTCGCCACTGTTGATTTCTTGTTGTTGTTGTTGTTGTTTGCAATTAAAAAGCCGCATTTGCATGCCGCCAAAGGGATCTGTGCTGTGCTTCTATGGACGTGAGTGGGAGGGTGTGTGGGTGTATCTGCGACCAGAGGATCCATCCACTGCCTCGCTTCTGTTTTTGTTTACGTCTAAGACTGCGCGCCGGCAGCGAATTGTTTGGGTTTCCGTTTCACTTTTTTTTTATTTGTTTCATTTTTGCTGTTTATTCTCTCTCTCTCTTTGCCTCTCCACCGCCTACTCTTTGTGTGGGGGACATTGGACCGCAGATTTGGCGCCAATTGAATAAACGTGCTGCTGCGGTGGTCCTTGAAATTGGAATCCACGCACTTTTCAAGGCCAAAGACTCATTCCCAGTGGATGTGAGTGGATGGATGGTTCCTGTAAAGTAAAATTTATGCACGGAATCGGTGGCTTATCATATTGTCAAGGGACTTACATCGTTTTTAGGAGTACCATACGAACATATCCAAAAAACTAACAATTATAAATATTCCAAATAGTTGCTGTTTCCCAGGCTAGTTTTTCCTAAAAATCTATAACTTTACCATTCGAAACATTAGGGCAATAAGGTCAAATACCCTCATCTAATGTCGCTCTATTTCTTTATTCCCATTACTATATGTTTCCCCGTCTTCCACTTATTCCCCCTTCCAACCAACCCAAAATGGTCCAGCCAAGGCCAACATCAACCGAACCCGACTGCTTGAGACATAAGATAAATAAGTAAATGCCCAATCCCATTCCTATACCCATAGCCATACCCATACCCATACCATTAGCTATGAGGAAAACCAATCGCAAGATTACCTGAGACATCGTGAGACGAACGAAACCCGAAACTACAAAACTAAATCTCTTGCAGAGGGTCGGACAGAGCGCGGGGGGAACGGAAAAGAACCAAGCGAACTGGAATTGGGTTTGAAATCGGAATACTTCCACCCGAACATCGTACAGAACAGAACAGAACAGAACAAGAGACAAAGGGCACGATGGCGGTGGTAGGTACAAGGTAGAATGTAGAACGTAGAACAGAACTTCCTAGGCGAACAATGGCAGTGCCTGGGAGATACAGATACAGATATACAGATACAAAAGAACCCAAACTGAGGCCCAGACTATGGCTGAGGCTGAGGCTGGGTCCGGGGCCATCATCGTGATTACGACTGATGATAATGACGCTGCAGGAAATTTCACGAAGACATCCAGAAGGCTGGCTATGCCAGGCAACCATTAGGTGTGGTGGATGAAGGGGCGGGGGACGAGAGCTCCCAAGGGCAGGCGGTGCGGTGCGGTGCGGTAAGAAAAGACGAGGGACAACTCTTGAGGCGATTAAGATAAAGTGCCAATCGATATAAGGGAAAGAAAGCGAACGAACTGGGCGAGAGATGTACTTGTAGCTACATCTACAGTCAGCCTCGGCCTCAGACACATCAACATCCATCCGCATCCACATCCGAGTATATAGCCAGAGTAAGAGCCAAAACCATCGCCAGAGCTGAGCACAGCAGAGCAAGAGCCATAGTCAGGGCGACATAAAAGGAAATATAAAACCATTTATAAAGCAAGTCAGTCAGGGGAGATTTGAATTGGAATTGATGGTGTATGGTGCACACTCGGCTATGTGTCTCAGTGTGTGTGTGTGTGTGTGTGTATGTGTGTGCCTGGCTATATGTATACCACAGCCATGGCATGGCATGGCTGATGGCTGCACGAAGAGCATAGACGAAGCGCAGTCGCGTTGTGTGTCAAGGTGCGAGGTGTATCTTCAAGATGGTGAGTGGAAGGGTTCGTCTTGGGTTTGGGTATCTGCTGCTCTGCTGCCAAGGAAGTTTCCGGAGCAAAAACTTTGCCAAAGTTAAGTGAACAGCTGCCTGAGGAGGAAGCAGAAGACACTGCTTGTACGAGAGAGCGAAAAGGATATACAGAGAGAGGGCAGCAGACAGTGAACCACCCCTAAGCCGGCTCACGCAACAAAAACTGAAAGATAAAACCCAATTCCGTAAATCCATGTCGACAAAAACAACAAAAGCGAAAGGAAGAACCAAGAAAGCTGTGAGGGGAGAACAACCGAAACAGCAACTGAGACTCTGTTCGAGACTTTAAACCTAATCAGTGGAAATCTCGATTAGTTGGACCGACTTTCAACGAACGGGAGAAACGGACATGCTGTTCATATTAAGTCACCTCTCAGTGCTGGCAATGCTCTGCTAATCCAAAGACCGGCTCTGACTCAGGCAGGTGGGTCTCTCGGGTCCCTCGCATCTAGCATCGTGTACATACCCGTAGTCGTGACTCAGCAGAGATGCAGTATCTCGCCCTCTCTTAAACCCCTGGGTCGGACAGCCGGGGGGCGCGGCCAATTCGTTCACTTTAGCCAGGCGTCTCTGTTACTTCTATCTCGAATCTGTATGTATCAGTAGTAGGTGCCTGCGGCTGGGGCTGTGTGTGGGCGTACTCCCCGATATAATAGTTATAATAGTAGAGCGTCGTTCGAGGCATGTCTGGTTCTGGTTCTGGTTTTTGGGGCTGCGACTGGAAATGTATCGATTTCTGGAGGCGTACGTACGCATCGTTGACTGAGCATTTCTATAGGGAGGAATCTCTGCTTCTGTTTGGCTTTCAGGGGAATGTTGTCTTATTGCTCTTATGTATTCCATTATGACTCAAGTGGTGTTGGCTCTGTGTGTGCAGATGGTATGATATGCTTCAGAAGACCCTCGAGGTCGTCATGTGTAGATATTTGTACATATGTACTTATATATCCCTATATACTTGTGTAGTTTGGGATCTGGATAGTTCGATGCGTCAGATCCGAGTCGGGTCAGTTGCTTGCTTGCTCATTAAATTTCATTCTAAATTTATAATTACGCTTGTCCTTCTGGCTATTTAAGATATGATTCATTTCAGTCCAGCACTTTAAAACAAAATTCAAATAAAAAAAACACCTGTTGTGCCTTGGCGCCAAATGGACACATTTTGTTGTTTATCAACACTGTGCCAGTCCGAATTCCAACGAACAAAACAGAATGCAAAAAAAGCGGCAATCGGTGTTTGTTTTGTGTGTATTTTAATAATTTAGAACGAGAAATCAGCTAACAAAGTCTTTTCTCTTCCTTTTGCAGCTTTTGGTGGACATTGAAGTTTAATTTTTTTTTTCTTTTCATTCGGTGGCTTGGCGGCGCATTAACGCAACGCCAAGACAAAATTCATTTAAAATTCGGGGCATACAGAACAACGTTTCCGGAATGCCGACCATTCGGCGTTGCTGCATCATCGGCTGCATGTCCAATTCGCGGCAGCATCCGAGCATGCAGTTCTTCGCCTTTCCACGGCCGGAGAGTCCGTTCCACAAGCTCTGGAAGGAGGCGTGCCACGCTTCGCTGCGTAGGATCATACCATTCAAGAAGCCCGTGGTGTGCGCTCTTCACTTCGACCCCAGTGTCCTGGGCGGACGACGTCTACAATCGAACGCTCTTCCCACGCTACGGCTGGAGGTGCCATCGAATATGGCCGCTGTGGAGCAGCAGGCGATGGTGGAGGAGATCGAGCGCAGTCGCAAGTGCGCCTACATCAATGCCGTCGTCTACGAGTGGTTAGTGCGCGCCAACATCAATCCCCAACTGCGTGGCAGCATCACACATGGCATGATCAAGGATAAGGCCGAGACTGCCCGTCAGGTGATCGGCAGCACATCTTTTATTGCCGACAATCGCTGGCTGAACCGGTTCCGCGAGACACATCTGCAGGGCTTTGCCCAGAAGCTGGCCACCAATCAGCTGAAGCCCATGGGCACTTCCCTCTGGATTCCTGATATTGTCCACGACTTGCAGCACCTGTTCCCCCCGGCCAGTGCGGAGCGTGTCGCTAAGCTGGAGGAGATGCCGGAGCACTACATGAACTACATGCAGCAGTATGGCGAGTACGAGGAGGACGAAGACAGTATGGACATCAAGGAGCAAAGCTATCAGGAACAGCAGCAGCAACAGCATTTTGCTCTCCAGCAGCAGCAACAGCATCTGCAGCAGCAGCATCCGATGAATCATCCATGGCCGCCGTTTCCGGGACAGCCGTCACATCCGCCCCATCCAGGCTTCACTAGTTTTAATGATTATTACTTCGAGCGCCACCAGCAACAGATGCAGCAACAGCTTCAGCAGCAGCAACAACAGCAAATGCATCAGCAAATGCATCAGCCGCAGTTCCCACCAGTGACGGCTCCTGCGACACAGCCCCAGAGGGAGCCATTCCAACCACAACTACCACCGAATGTTGGGCCCCAACGTGCCAGTCCCTTCCAGCCAGTTCTCCTGGCTAAGCACCCGAAGATGGAGTCGGCGACTGACATGGAAGTGCAGGAAATCAATTGCTCGACAATATCTCGAGGGTCGCCATTGCTCCTGGCCGAGCCCACACAAGCCACGCAGGACCTCACAGAACAGACCGCCAATCTACGGCTGCCCAGTCCCAAGGAGCAGAACAACAACAGCAGCGGAGGGCGCGACAGTGCCAGCAGTAAGGAGAATGCTCCCAAGGCAAGCGGCGGCAGCAGTGGAAAATCCACGCCAGCACACTCCGCCAAGGGCAACAGCTCGCCAGCGCAGCCATCCACATCGGCGCCTGCTTCGCCCAAGAGAATCTCCAATGGCAGCAGCAGCAGCAGCTCTGGCAGCCAGACAAATGGTCACGCATCTCCAGAACCCGAGTCGAAGGCCTTGGCCATTACAAACGTGCTGAAGGAACTCGACAGCTACACCGACGCGCTCGAATATCTGAAGCCACTGGAGGATTTTGTGCTCTTCAAAGAGAACTTTCGAGCAATTGGCCTGCTCTCCCAGTTGGAGTTGGTTCTGCGCAAGGGCGACAAGGGCACGCTAGTCGAGGGCTAGAGTTGTTGCTCTATTAATGACAAACACAAATGTGATGAACATCGTACATACAAATGTATCGAATAGATTACTGAAATATGTAGTATTATTATTTTGAGCTACCATTAACTCAGCTACGTAATTTTAGCAGACGGAACTATGACTTTAACGAAATAAAAATAAATAAATCATTAATTTATTAATTAAAACAATAGGAATATAGACATTTTAGTTTTATTGTACCAAAGCAGTCCTGCGACTATTGTAATCTGTTAGCACTATACAAGATGGCTGACTAGTTTTTTCTTTTCCCGAAAAAGTGCAGGGGAAAATTTATTATTCCATCAATTTAATCAACAATCCAATGATAATTAATGGAACAGCCATGGAGAGCCAAAAAGAAAATCAACTGCAACACCCAAAGTTAAAAGTTACGCTCAAGCCGTGGATCATATGCAACCGCTGGAGGAGTTTCTGATCTCCACGAAGAACCCTGCGCGCTGCAAGACTTTAAGTTCCTAAGAATGAAAAAGAATACTTCTAAAATATACATGCTAAATGCATAAATGCTAATGCATAAATGCATAAATATAAAAATTATGAGAGCTGACTTGGTGTTGTTGCAGTTGTTTTTGTCCGTTAGATATTCCACATCTGGCAGCGTTGCACTATTTGAGATTAGCAGCTTCCTGCGACGCGGTCACACTACGCCAATGTTTACGTTTTTACTTCATTGCAAAAAATAGCCCCCCATATTGTTGCTTAAACGCCCTATTCTTCTGACTCTTCGCGTGTAACATTAACAACAAATGTCGCTGCTGGAACAGTACGAGCAGCAGTACGCGGCTCTGATTGCGGAGATAACGGCGCATATAGGGAGATTGCAGCAGCAGAGCAGCAGCAGTGAGTGAAAGATTTTACATTTTCGCACATACACACACAGGGATGATACTCAAATTTTTGTTAATCCTGCAGGTGACCGTTACGAGCTGTGCAGCAAAATCGATGGCAGCCTGCCCGAGGCACAGGAGCTGCTGGAGCAGATGGGCCTGGAGGTAAGAGAGCTGAATCCCTCACAGCGAAGCAGCTTCAATAGCAAGCTGCAGGTGGCCCAAGCCGAACTACGACGACTGCAGGCGGAGTACAAGCAAACAAAGGATAAGCAGCCAAACGCCTTCACAACCTTGGACTTGGGTGGGGACGGTGACTTTTACGAGGATGTGTCCATTAATAATGACCAGCGACAACGCCTACTAGACAATTCGGAGCAGATTGAGCGCACTGGCAATCGGCTGACCGAGGGCTATCGCGTAGCCCTGGAGACCGAGGCTCTGGGCGCACAAGTACTGAACGACCTGCATCATCAGCGCGAAACTTTGCAGGGTGCCCGGGCACGTCTGAGGGAGACAAACGCCGATCTCGGCCGTGCCTCCCGCACCCTGAACACCATGGTGTTGAGAGCTCTGAGAGAGAAGGTTGTTTTATACGGGGTAGGTGTGTGCTTCGTAGTCGCTGTGGGCGTCAGTTTATATCTCACCTTTGCCCCGAGTTCCTCGGCTGCCAGATCGTAGTAAGCCCAATGATAAACCAATTGATATGATATAGTTTGAGTATAGCTTATCACTAGAGACGTATTGACGCATTCCTGTTTTGTGAATTGATTATTTATTATTTGTTTAGAATATCTTACGTCTACGAGTATTCCAGTGTGTAAAGGAAAAGTTCCCAACGGCTAATCCTAGTGGGAGAAAGCTGCAAAGACTTACGCACTAATCTACATATGTACGAGTACTTTTTATTTGGCAATACGCGGCGCCTAGATACCTACTACTCCTATTCTATGACTCATGTTAAAAGTTTGGTGTTTCGTGTTCATTTTAGGGACGTATCTTGCATTAATTCGTAAAAAAAAAACAACCAAAGGTGAATAGGCCCATAATGCACCTACAATTCGCATCGTTAATAAATAAAAAATAAATAAAAAATGCATTTCTGCTCGCATTGAGTCTGGCTTTAGCCAAACTCAATGTTCCCCAACTGCTAGCAGCTGCAGGAGGAGGCCTCCTCGTTGACCGTCGGGTCACTGGCTGTGTCAATTTTGAAGCTTTTCTGCTCGAGAGCCTGCAGCTCCATTTTGGAGCGATTGGCGTGCACCAGTTGTCGCGATATGTCGCGAAACATTTCCTCAACACCCGCCCCGGTGCGACAAGATGTCTTGTAGGTGGCACTAATCAGTGAGTGGCACTGCTCGCAAAAAGCTTCCACCTCCTCGTCACTGACTTCCGGCTCACGCCCCTCCAAGTCGCTCTTGTTGCCACAGATGAAGATCTTCGCATTCTCGGCATACGTAACAATATCCAGCAAGTGCTGCGAAAGGGAGTGAAAGGACGCGGCATTGTCCAGGGCGAAAACAAGTATTGCACCCTCTGCAAATTTGTAGTAGGAAGAGGTCACAGAAGCCACGCGTTCCATGCCGCCAGTGTCCCACAGTTGGAGCTGCCATCAATCATCAGGAGATTAGTTAAGCAAGCTGGACGCATATACCATCAGAAACTACACACCTTAATCTGCTTGTCGCCCACATTGTACTCCCGATCAATATTATCTAGGCCCAGTGTAGATTTGCGGTCTGTCTCCGTCACGAATGTATTGTTGGTGAAGCGGCGAAACAGCGAACTCTTGCCGACGCCATAATCGCCGCAGAGTATCACCTTTTGCTTGGGTATGCGTATAGTTGCCATTATTGCCCTGAAATTTTGCAGCTCCAGACACAAAAGAGGAAAACAACAAAGTCCTCACAGCTGTTAAGGGGTCATGGCGTTGCCAGACCCACAACTGCTCGAATTCCACAGAGGTGCTTACGATAACTGCTTACGCGGGCTGAATAGATAAGATTTTCCCTTAAAATGAGCCCCACCGCCGCGGCCATGTTCAAAGTGATCCATTCAGCTCGTATGAGTGCCAAGTGGAAAAGATGACTGGCCTGGTAGTGATATTGCTTGCGTGCTTCGCGGCCTTGGCACATGGTAAGTCGCGTCCATAAATCACCGTCCTACGATCTATCTATCTATCTAGCTGTCTCTCACACAAACAATTGCAAACCGTAGGCAAGGCCGGATATGGACCGGGAGATCAGGATTGGGGATTCGTCGACGTACGTCCAGGCGCCCACATGTTCTATTGGCTCTACTACACCACGGCCAATGTATCCAGCTACACGGAACGTCCCCTGGCCATTTGGTTGCAAGGAGGACCAGGTGCCTCGTCTACTGGCTATGACAACTTCGAGGAGCTGGGGCCGCTGAAGCTTGACGGAAGCTACCGCGAGTGGAATTGGGCCAAAGACATGAACGTGATGTTCATCGACAATCCCGTGGGTAGTGGCTTCAGCTGCGTCGACAATTCATCGTATTATACGACGACGAACAAGCAGATCGCCCTGGATCTGGTGGAGCTGATGAAGGGCTTTTATGAGAATCATCCGGAGTTCAAGGCTGTGCCCTCGCACATCTTCTGCGAGAGCTACGGCGGAAAGATGGCCCCAGAGTTCGCTCTGGAGCTGTACTATGCCATTCAGCGCGGTGAGATCGATAGTAACTTGGTGTCGGTTGGATTGGGTGATCTGTGGACATCGTCCATCGATTCCGTGCTCTCCTGGGCTTCGTTCCTCCTTCAGCTGGGCATCGTTGATACGGATGGCCATGACAAGATCGAGTCTTCGGCCGCATCGACCAAGAGATATGTAGACCGTGAGCTTTGGACCCTGGCCACACTACAGTGGAGCTCCACGCAGTCGGTGGTGCTTTGTGAGTCGAAGGGCGTCGACATATACCATGTGGAGACAGCGACGCTTGGCGATAAGTACGTGCTGAGGTCAATGCCCATGAGTCAAGAGGGTAGAATCATGAAACCTGGTCAAAGCAAAAGTGAGTTTTTCAATCATTTCTCCTGGCAGAGCTCATGTACCGCACTTTAATGCACTACGACATTGACGAGGATCGGGACAAGCTTCTCGAGGAGTTGATGCAGGGCCCCGTCACAGAGGCCCTCAACATCACCACCGGCGTCAAGTGGGGCGCATAGAGCAGCGCAACCTTCTCCTCGCTAATGGGTGATTTCATGAAAGCCTGCCGTCCACATTGGTAAGGGCTGACTCTTGTCTGTGCCCGGATCTTCTTTCATACAGCTGAGTCCTTTTGCTTTCAGCAGGTGACCTGCTGAGCAACACCACCGTCAGAGTGGGTGTTTTCTCCGACGGCCTGGACCTGATCTGTGCCACCCCAGGAGCTGTCAGTTGGATTGCCGACATGGAGTGGACGGACAAGGCGTCCTACCTGGCTGCTTCGCGTGTTGGCATCACCGTGGATCGTGTCCTAGAGGGCTATGAGAAGACGGCTGGAAATTTCAGCATCTTCTGGGTGAATCGTGCGGGACACATGGTGCCCGCCGATAATCCGGCAGCCATGTCTTACATTCTGCGCAAATTCACCAACTTTGGTTAAGCGTCTGTCAATAAAACTAACGATTATATCAGAAGTGGGGCGTTTTTATTTAAAAAATTTCGAATTTCGTGCGATCAGATGCAGTAACAGTAAAGTTGTCGCATGCGCAGAAAGAAGTACTCTCTCAACCACACACACACACAGCCACCATCTCTCGCCGTTCGTGTATTTTTTCCACCCTCTCCGCATTGCTTTTTGTTTTGTTTCGCTCGCTTTGCTTCATTCTCTCCTGTCTATTCTCTCTCACACTCTTTGCATCAGTTACTTACTCCCGCACGCTTATCAGCGAAATACAGGCCGGCGCAGAACGAAATCGCGCTCTCTCGCTCTCTCCATCGACCGCCACGCTGCGCATTCGCCAGAGAAGAACAGAACAACGTACATCGCGGCACTAAGCAGCTATTTTTATATTAACAGTTCTAGGCGAAACAGCACAGCGCATGCAACTGAGCGTCGTTGAAAAACCATAGAAATACTATAATCGACTTTGTTGGTGGCCACACGAAAGGTTTGAGAAAATTGCCAGGTGAATGCAATGAAAATGAAATAAAACTGGCGGCTGGCGACGTTTTCAAGCAGTCAACGCGCATAATCGTAGCCAGAGAGCCAGAGAGGGTGAGTGGGCGCAGCAAACAACTGTAAATTGAGTCTTGCAACACTCGCCAGAGGCGCGCGGGTTCCCAGCTAAAGCAGCAACAAAATGCGGATTCGTGAAAAACGCAGAAGGGAGAGGGAGCAAAGCAGCCAGGCACAGGCACAGGCACATGCACAGCCCTCCAGAAAGGATGACAAGAAGGATAAGGTGAGTCGATAATGATTGCAATGATTGAGGCCCCAAGCTCATGCGATTCGCTGTCCCCAGGTAATCGACGTGGATGCCGTCGTGAAGCCCAAAGGGCCGACTCTCACACAAAGGTCATACACCACGACGCCCGACTATCTGCCCCGACTATCTGCCGCCGAGAAGGTAGCCTTCGACAACCGCATCAAGCGCAAGAACGTCCTCGCTCTCAACGAGAAGGTGGCTGCCTTGCGGGAGTACGATCGCCTCCCAGTCTACAAGCACGTCGGACGGCTGTTTAACTGCAGTCCTGACCAGATTAAGCGCATTGTGCAGCAGCGTCAGGAGATCATGAACGCCTGGGAGCAGCGGACGCGGCGCACCCAAGACGCAGGCACGATGGAGACGAAGACGATGAGGGTGTCGATGCTGGGCAAGGCAGTGTACGACTGGATTCGGCGCATGATGTACTACAAGGACTTTATAATCTCCGACGGCCTCATTCAGAAGATGGCGCTGCAGTTCAAGAGCTCCATGGGGCTTGCACACTTCTTCCCCCACCAGGAGTGGTGCGACAAGTTCCGCAGTACCTACAGCATCGAAAACAATGACACAAAGATGTTGAAGATCGGCTACACCCAGAGTCACTCGGTCCAGATCAAGGACATTGTGAAGGACGTAACGTCGGAGTGCAAGCCTCTGGACAGTACGAACCAGCAGAACGAAGGGGAGGAGGATCAGGACGACGGGGAAGTGAGCCTGCCAAGCACGTTCAGCAGTCATGCAGGCGAGGAGGACGATGAGGTCGATGTGGATGGCGGCGACATTAGTGAGAGGGAAGAGGAGGAGGATGTGAAGCCATCGCTGAGCGAACTGAATCTGGCACGTGCCGTCCACCCACTGCCTCAGTTGGTCAGGCTGCCACTGCCGCTCAACACCAACACACTGCCTGGTACGTCGCAGAAGGTGCTGCTGGCCACGCCCATTCTCCCACCAGGTGCAAAGCCACCCACCGGTGGGGCACAACCAATGACCATGACCATTATACCGTTGGCTACGTTGGCCCAGAGCATAACGAAGCGTCCGTCGTTGCAGCCACAGCTGCCAGAGAAGGGTCCAGTAGTGCCTGCACCCATGCTCGAGATCAAGCAGGAAAAGGACATCAAAGCGGAGCCGAAAGACCCCGAGGAGGAGACGGAAACAGATATGGAGGTAGCAGAGGCTATGGCACCATCCAAAGCACAACCTGATCCGGAGCCGGAACCTGTCATGCGCATCAAGGAGGAGCCACTTGGAGAAGATGATCTTGAGGACGATGCCAACGGAGGGCGCTCCAGTGTCACATCGTTGGCCGAAGTCCTGGCCGCCAATGTGGAGAACGAAATGGAGTACATCGAGCAAATGCGCCAGCGCAGGCTGAGCCCGTCAGCCGAGGGGATTCCAAAACTGCCACCGATGCCACCATTGACCATGGCGCCGGCAGTCGCACGCCAAGGCATCAAGCGTCGTCAACCAATGGACCATGACGATAACAACAACGGCGGACAATCCGCCAGTGGGACGAACGTCATCAGCTGTGCCGATGCACGAAAGTACCTGAAACTACTGGAGCAATTCGCTCTCCACAAGGGGAACTACCGTCTGATCGGTCTGATCACCCGAGCCGATGAGGTTATGCGGGAGGTGGATGACGCCTTATCGTAGGATAATTCAGAGTCAGGGAACCATAATATGCTTCAGCCAAAGAGCAAGCCAGTCTTAAGCTTAGTTCGTAGCCAGGCATCTCGAAGACGCACTCAATCACTAGCCGTAAGGTATACATATCTAGTTTGTACTCGAACCAAATACACTAAACCGAAATCATTTCGTTCCTTGCGTCATTGTTACAATCTCGATATGGAATATTAGTACCTATGCACTACATATATATAGATTCAGACATGTACATGTGTAGATGTGTGTACACCTATTCATGGCCAGCACAAAAAGTCGGCTAAATATATGCGCTGTATAGCCAGTGCGCAGGTCTGCCCTTAGCTGCCGGATAGATGGTGGTCCGGCCGGGCTGCCGCTCTCACCAATCAAACATCTGTTTTGATTGCACCTGAGAGTGTGTGGTGTGGTGTGCGTGTGAGAATGGTGGGCGCTGTCTGAGAGTGCGTGTCAAGAATATACAAACGTATACAGTTCGAATAAAGTTGAGCATTTTTCATATGGCATGTCAATCATTCAATCAACATCAATATGGGTAGCGCCTAATTATGGCATGATGATTGCGAGATTCACATGTGTGAAATGATGTGCGCATGTCTGCCCTTAGCCAGACGACTGGTCCAAACTGGCATCTGGCCAGGCGCTCCTCCCAAAGGCCCCGTAGGAGTTCAATACACATGCAATGGGAATTCTTAAAAATTGTGAAATTCTAGATTCAGAGCAGCCATATCTGTATTATTGCGCATTTCCAGACGTTCACAAAAACCTGGGGTCGTTGATTGATTGACTTGGCTCTGTATGTATATAGCGCACAAACAACCCTCGCATACATGCACAAATCCACGCCGTCAGAAAACTAATCAATCATTCAATCGAACACTGACACACACACACACACCGGTGCTGTTTGCGTCTACATCAGAGTCTCAGTTCATGATTGCTGCTTGAATCGTGAGGGTCGGTCCAATTTTATCCATCGAGGGTGTTTTCGTCGTATTGTTTAAAACGGAATTCGAGATTGTAGCAACAAAACAACACAAAATCAGCATTTAATTCCAGGGTATGTATGCAAAAGTAGAGTCGTTTTTCATGTTCGTCCATGTTCCTGGTGTTTTCCAGCACTGCATTTTTGTTGTTGGTATTTTTATGATTTTACACAAAAAGAGTCTACATTCCAGCCAACAGCTGATGCGTGTTTGTATTTTTGTATTTTAATATTTATTATTTTAAAACAAAATTAATTCGCAAATATAGCGACACATCAAGGCTATAAAGACATTATTGTTGGTTCTGCACTCGTTTTGAATACCCCTAAGCAAATTTAAGATGGCAATTGTATTAACTTTTATTTAACTCTTTCGTTTCGTGCTAAGATGACGTCTTTGCCTGACCGCTTCAGCGCTGGCAAGCGTCAGTTTTGGCGCGAGTTCTTGGCACTCTATCAGGGAATGCCGCAGCTCTGGGATGCCAACCATGTCGACTACCGAAACAAGGAGCTGAGAAACAAGGCCTACGAGCGGCTGGAGGCGAAGCTAAGGGAAATCCAGCCGAATGCAACGCGCACTGAAGTTGGGCGTCGCATCAACATCTTCCGAACGAACTACCGGCGAGAGCAGATGCGGATTCTGAAGCAAAAGGAACTGGGATTTCATTCGGATCTGTGCAAGCCCACGCTTTGGTTCTACGATTATATGGGATTCCTCCTCACCCAGGAGTCATTCCAACAAGGCAGAACCAGGAAGGTTCGCGGAGCGGCGATCACAAAACAAAAGACGAGATTTGAATTTGGGAGAGACGTTAGTATATAATTGATTGGGCGTTATTTGCAGTTGGTTTTACAATGGATTGCATTGCTTATTTTCAGGCCTCATCGGACCCACTGGATACCGTGAGTGACTGGCCAACAAATGATACCATAGGCAGCTACCTACCAGAGCCAGGCACGCAACAATCGGAGGGGAGTTCTCTGCTGAGTCCGAAAATTGAGATCATCGAGCAGGACGGAGAACCCATGGATACCGATAGGCACCCGCGAGACGACGATGTCAAGCCGGAAACTTGTGGCTTTAGCACATCCGACTACAAGGACCGCAACGTCTCCACGAACGCGGCGTTAACTGTGGGAAGGCGATCAAATGGTTCAGACGTTCCTCCAGCTTTAAGCGAGTCCTCGGAGTTGCTGGCCAAGTCTTGGGCTGTTCAGTATGAAGAGATGGCACCGACGCAAAGAATCTTGGCACGAAAAGCCATCGCCGATATTCTCTTTGAAGGCTGCATGGGAAACTTGCGAATAAACCGCGGCGAACAGCGCAGCTCAGTGGGAAACCATTTGTAGATCTGATAATTATAAAACTAATTTAATAATATACATTTTAAGAGATGTAAATACTGAAAACTGTGTCGTTATAATTTTTCCCGCCCCCACCATAGACTCAGCGTCAGTGCTGTAAAGCATAATGTCGAGTTTTGCGCGACCATCAAAATACCACAACGTGGTGTATTTTTGGAATCTGTGTCGGTATTTTTCTGAGGGTCAGTATTATTTGCACGCAAACAAAATTGTTTGGTTGTTTGTTGTTTTTTAAATGATGCTGTGCCGTGGAGGAACAAGAGTGTGAAGATAGTTTTCCACTTTTAAAGGACACAGCTAAACATTTTCATAACGATTCCGAGCAGCAGGTAGTCAAAACTTCAGAAGATGCAGAGCTGCCAGGGGCTGAGCAAGATCTCTTTGTAAGTAATATTCTACTGGCATTAGATGAAATTAGTTACATATATCCATTTTATTCCAGGAAACATTTGTTTGATTTTAGAGTGGAGCACTTCAAGATCATCAAGGGTCCGAATGGTCATCACTTGGCCAGTAAATGCCAGGAAGAGATTAAGAAAAAGTTACCTGCGTCCTCATACGAGGACGTAATGGCATGGGTTGGCAGCTGGATAACACGGCTAAATGGGGAGAATACAGTTCCTCCGAAAACAGCATTGGTGCAGCAGGCTGACAGTGTAATTGAGACTCGTCCTGCCAAGCAACCAGCAACCGAAGCAGCCCCAGACCAACCTCCGCCATTCGTGATTGACCTCTGTAGTGATGAAGATGAACCTGCAGAGACTTGCCAAAGTCTAGACAGTTTACTTGACAGCGAATACATTCAATCAAAAGCAGCCTCGTTAATCATCCATGATGACGAGCTGGGCGATATAAATCTAAAGGACTACGCGGACCACATTGATGGAAAGATTGATGTAGAAACTCTAAAGCAGCGTGTCGCTAAGAAAAAGATTGCTAAAAGATTCAGCCAGACTTCAATAAAGCAGTATGCGAAAAAATTGAAGTTTCGATTGAAGCCGAGAGTAATCCGACCAAAACCGACAGCCAAAGAAGTCGAGATCACTGGCAAGATACAAAAAGGACCTAACGGATCAGAACTAAAATCAAAACAAGACAAGAACACCACTGGCAGGGCGCCAGACGAGCCCACCACAGAAGTACGCACTGGCCGAGTAAAGCTGAAAGCCAACGAAGACAGAAGCATCGTCAAAGGCAAGGCTCAATATGAACCCACCAAGACAGTCTGCACCGAAAGATCAAATCTGAAATCCAACGAAGTGAGGATCAGCATCACCCATGGCAAGGCACCAGAGGAACCCACCACAGAAGAACGCACTGGCCGAGTAAAGCTGATAGCCAACGAAGTCAGAAGCACCATCACCATCAGAAGCAAGGCACCAGATGGACCTAGCAAGACAGTCTGCGCCGAAAGATCAAATCTAAAATCCAACGAGAGGATCAGCATCACCGCTGACAAGGTTCAGGATACGCCCACCATAAGAGTACGCAATGACCTTGTACTAAATGGTAATGTTCTGGCACCACTTGAAAATACTCTGATAGTTGATGGGCCTGTAAACCAACCTGCAAAATCTAAAGACTCCACAAGCTCAGCTGGCAATCGAAAGCGAAAAGAATGCGAAACAACAACAGAAGATGGTCAGGGTATGGCCAAAAGGCAATCAATTCAGTTAACTCGTACCAACCCAAGTGTGTATCTTCAATTGCCAACAATCCAACTGCTCCTAGACGAGGTGGCACACTTCTCGGTTGGCCAAGGAAATTCCCAAGCGCTGATGCTCATTAACCAGCTACGTCACAGCCTCCAGACAAGAGAGCAAATGATCTGGAATGCAGCGAATCTCCATAACTTTTCGCTCGATTAACAAAAGTCGCTGGAACGGCTGGGAAGAACTATTCGTTCGTTCGTTCGTCTGGGATAGCGTCGGAATTAACGTGTTTTGTTTTTAATCGAGCCTACGATGTTTATTTGTAGAGAATAAGGAATTTATTTGTGGGCTTAAAGACTACGCTACGCCATGTGTGCCCTTTTGAGGCTTTATTATATGTATAATAATTATTATATATTATATATTATATTATATTATATTATATTATATTATATTATATTATATTATATTATATTATATTATATTATATTATATTATATTATATTATATTATATTATATTATATTATATTATATATTATAATATATACGATTACTCGTATCATCGTAAATTGAAGCATCATTATATGACGATTTTCGTTCTTTATCTATGTATTTACATCGAATATGCACTTATAGCTCGAAATTGCAGTTCATTTATGTTTAATTTTCGTTCTAAAATAGTTTGTTTAGCTCGATACCTGCGAAAATTTGTACAGCCAAACGCAAATAAAAATGAAACCCTAATATTATTTTCAGTCAAAGGAACAATTGAATTCTTTTCCGACCCAACAAAGTCATACTTTTTACGCAGGACCTACCTGCCCTTGCAGGAGGAAATCCATTCCCTCCCACTGTGTTTAACCGAAAATGTCTGATCATAATTTAATTCGACCTTTGAAAATGCCATAAACGCCGTAAAGAATAAAAATCGCAAAATAAATGGACCTTTAATAACGGATCTTGAGGAGCGTCTTACTTACCTGCTCTCTAAGATGATGTGATTCTACCATGGCTGCTGCGCTCAGAAAATTCGCGTAATCCTCTCATCTCGCAGGCTTCGAGAACAAAATCGAATTTTTATTGCAGCCATGCATACCCATACCCCTAGTTCTGACTGGCCTACGAGTATAGCCATTGAATCATATTATGGATGCCTATATCATTCATTGTATGCTGAGATCGTCACCGCCCATCCGGCGATGCACTTAACGCGTTTGCAAATGATTTGCCCCAGCTGTTGCCAACACCACTGCACCTGTGGCCCAGTCCCACAACCAGCCCCAGCCTCAGTCCCTGCTTCAACTGGAGCCTGTTCTGCTCCCCTCCTGGTGGTATTTATACTTGTAATTCTGCTAGTCCAAGAAACCGCATGGAAAAATTCAAATCACTGGGAGTTGGGGGATTGGGGCTGTGGATGGGGCTGAGCTGTTGTAGCACTTTGCACCTGTCGTCCGCCCTACGCATCTGAAAAATCAAGCGCAGCTTTAATTGATGCAACAACAACAACAACAACAGCAGCAGCAGCAGCGCAGCATCAGCAGTCGCTGCATCGAGGGGGAGGGTGATGGTGAGGGCAGAGTGGGGTTGGGCGATGGGGCACAATCGTGTTGGCTGAGAACTAGTCGCGGCAAAAATGTTGTAAGAAATGCGTGGATCGGTGGGGGCCAGACAGGGGCAGGTCCCAGTCCAAGTCGGAGCTGTGGCAGCTGCCGCTGACAGAGTCGCAGCCTCGATGTTGCAGAGAGGAAAAGCGGCCCTTGGAGCAAATGTTGGCGGGCCGCGTCCTAAATGGGCATTGAAATTAAATGCAGCTGCTTTAATGATGCTGATGCTGTTGCAGTTGCACTTGCGCCCAGCCAAGGATGGGCCGTGCATGGGAATTGGAATGGGGTGCAGGTCCAGGTCGAGGCCTAAGCAAATCTGAGAATATGCCACAAATGTTTGCTTGGTGGGCGTGGGGCTGGGCGTGCCACTGCCCTGGTGGCTCTCTGTTGCTCCTACGCTGACGTTCCCTCATCGTGGTGGGCGCCAGCAATCTGCAACAGCAACAACAACAATCTGCAACACGGCGCCTTTTTGCCTTTTTGGGAGGTTTAATGGGAGTTGCCGTTGCCTTTTTTGGTGCAACGAAATCAAGAAACAAAAATTTAGTATCGCCCGCAGCTCTTTCTCCCCTCCACAGATGAACCATGACGATGACGATGACGATGATGATGATGTTGATATCGTTTGTTAGTTTCTCTGTTTTGTTAGTTTTGTTTCTTCAAGTTGATGGCAGCCGTTCCGTTGTTCCCGTAGTTCCATACAACAAATGCTGACCGAAAGGAGAGCTCACCAAAGCAAAACACTGGCATTTCGGCCTAAACTGCCGCTTAAATGATGGCAATTTTGTCCGAGGCTAGGCCCTTGTGGCACGACGAGGCACATTCAACCAAAACTGGCCCGGGATCAGCGCCATCGATAAACGGCCAGCAATTGGGCTTCACATCCACAGCAGTGAGAGGTCAGTCGGCTGTCTGTGACGGCCCTGCTTGGACGACGAATTGATTGCCAAGTTAATGGGAAATATTTACAATTTAAGCAGCGAATACGATACAATACCAAATACGAGTATACAACGAATAATCCATTAAAAGTGAGTGGATGGAACATCTAAACCAAGCGAATGATCAATGGCGCTACAACCAGGGCTAAGAAAGCTTCAATTTAGATATCAGAGGGATCTCTATCTCTAATTAAAAGAGTTGCGACATTTGCCTGCCTCATCAATGGTATGTGGAATCTCTTCGAAATGGCACCTTGAACTAATTTCAATTATATCTGAATGAAATTTATCCAAATTGTGTGCTGTTCCCATCATTATTATCCTGCATTGTGCGACCTTTTGTTGCGCCCAAAATGTGATGCAAACAAGGCAACAATAACAAACTGTGTCTGTTCTCACACAAAAAGAATATACATAGAAAACGCGTACTCCGTGCACAGGCGAGGCACGCGTCGAAAACCACCCCGGGAATGGGAATCGTATGGCATCCAATGGATCGCAGGTGCGAGGCCAGACATTAGGGTGGGATCCGATCCGATCCGCGGGCTTATCAGGGCCCACGGCCCAGGCCACACGGCTGTTGCTTCTCAGAGACTCAGAGAGAATCACACGAGAACCACAACAGTTGCTCATGGGACTGGGAATGGGAATCGGGGAATGAAACTGAGACCATGTGAGGGTGGGACTAGCTACTCTCATCGTCCGAGTGTCGTGTGAACTTAAATGCGGGATTATTTGTTGGTCGTTGGTCGGCTAATGGGAAGAGTGATGTCAGTGGAAAGCCATGAGAGCGAGAGGCCGCAAACGGGTGGAAATATTTTTGCTTGCAAAATTCCCAACCGATTGGAGAGATTCAAAGATTTAAATGAGGAGATGAATGGCATTCTTGTAAGGTGCTCTAAGGGGGGCGTGTCGTGTCAAACGAACCGAGAACTTTCAGTTTTTGGTCTCTTCCCGAGCTTCTTTTGTTCGTTTTGAGTGTGGAGTGGAGTCGTGGAAAGTGGTGCAGCAATTACATGATCAAAAATTCTCTTCGCACATTTTGCAGCTTTGTGAATTTTGAAATTACTGAAATGCTTTTCGCACGGCCCACGGCCCAAGTGTGGGACTGAGAACCGTCCTTCCACTCAAGCAGATGCACAATCAGCGACAGTTACAGATACAGATATATCCATATATATGGCCGAATCTTAATGAATTGAGAGCCATTTGGGGCCGCGCTGCTAAACGGGCATTACCTATTAAAATTAAACCATAAGCTGACAGTCCGAGAGCAGCTGAAAAAATAAGCGAATTTCGGCTTTCGATGCCAGGCCAGGCCAGGCCAGAGAGCCTCACAAAATGAAGCGTTAATGATAGCCGAACAAAAAAGGATACGGCGCCTTTTGATTCTCTCTATATGTTTCATTCTTTCTTTTTTTGGGTCCAAAACTTTTATGACCAAATGAATAACCCACAAAAAAAAAAATAACCACAAAAGCTGACCATTTCGATTTCAGTTGGGTTTCGGCTTGGGTTTATGGTCGGCGACACCTTTTAAGCGCGCCAATCGAATCAATGTTTTAACACGGGAATACCATTTCCAAAACGAGCTCATTAAGGACTCCCGAATATATCTGCGAGGCTACAAAAATATGCGAGTATATGAGACAAGCCAAAATTCGACGAATGCCCGACAGCAGCTGCAATCACGAATGAATTGGGCAAACGGAAACTGCGAGCGGAATTTCATATTCATTTGATTTCACAATCCTGCGAAAGTGAAACCGTCGTGGGGCAGGTGATTTGGGGGCACCGCATCGCTTCGCTGGCCAACAAGTTTTGGAAATTTGAAAAAAAAATCTCTGCGCTAATTACTTGACTGGAATGGGACCGAGAACTGGGACGTGCAGCTGCTTCGGAATCGGGGGAATGAGAGCTGGGAGCTGGGAGACGGTAGCTGGGAATGGAACTGGCAGAGAGAGGCTCTCCTTGCCTTGCCTTGTTGCCTAATTGAACTCATCAATTCGGACTTAATGAAGTGGCAGCAGCAGCAGCAGCATCCGAACGCAGCCCAGAAAATGTCGCGTCGCATTTTCAAGTCCAGCGAAGCTGCAATTCATGAGGCATCTTGCGGCTTAAAACGTATATCTTTTGTTTCTGTTTTTTTTCGGGTGTTTTTTTTTTGGCCGATTGGCATTGCCCGATAACGGGGAATACAACACATTCGCAGTCGATTCCGTGAACGAGGAGGAGCTTCCTGTACAGCAGCTACTGCAGCCAATGGCCGGCTACTGTGGCAGTCATTTAATTAGCAGTTTAATTGCCCATGCGGCTGACTCTCTTCCCACCCCCCACCAGCTGGCATGCGGCATTTGGCAACTTCATTAATAACATCGATAGCCACAAGCGCAGCCGGATCCCGGCCAAATGCCGTTGGTCATAGAGAGCCAAGGGGGCACCACCAGTTCGTGGCTGGAGTCTCTATCGATTCCCGCAGTGACAAATGATATGTTGACAACGGACGGCAGGCAGTTGCAAAATTTTCGACTCTGGCCTATCGAGAGATACTGAATGGCCCCGCGATGGGACTCTGCCGCAGCTTCATTTGCGAAATCTGCCACTTATGATAGGTGCACGGGCCGCTGATCAGCTCTGGCCCACAAAAATTACTCACTGATATCTGCAGTGCCCGTCGGTGGGGACTTAAGAGGAGCCTGCCACACCGCTCGTCATCGATCATCGATCATCATTGAGTGGCCCTATCAGTGGGCTTATTGTTGAGTGGGCTGCCCAAGTTCCAAGTCAACAGAAATGCAATACACGTGTGTCTGATTCCCACACAATTCGGGACTCTATAGGCGAAGTATTTCCCC